ATCGATGTGAGAGAGACACATCGATTGGTTGCCTCCCACATGTGCCCTAACAGGGGCTGGGGGGTATGTGCCCCTGACTGGAATCAAACCCGGGACCCTTCAGTCTGCAGGCTGATGCTCTATCCACTAAGCCAAACCAGCCAGGGCCTGAAACAAAAATGTTAAGAGTGGCTTATGTTCATTCTGACAGTGACTTAGAGGGTTAAAGCTCCTCACTCCCTCCCAAATGCAGCCAGTGAGAGGCCTGCTTTGCAGGGAGAAGAGGTACTTGAGTGCAGGGTCCTTTATAACTGTCTCTCAAGCATAGTTTCTTGGCTCTCTGAGCAGGTGTTTTCTGGGGAAATAAAATAGGAGCGATAACAATAATACCTACGGGGGAGCATTTGAAATCTTGCTCCCAGCATTTCATCAGTTTGGCTCAAATAAACTCATATAAAAATTCTCAAAACAGCCTGGCTGGCATAGATCAGTGGTGAAGCGTCAACCTATGAACCAGAAGATCAAGGTTCAATTCCCGGTCAGGGCATATGCCTGGGTTGCGGGCTCGATCCCCAGTGTGGGGCGTACAGAATTTATAAAAAATAAAAGAGTAGAAACTGCTGCCATCACCCTATTCCTAAAACTCAAAGGATGAAAATACAAAGGTGACAGGTTCTTGAAATTAAGCTCCCAACTTTCTCTTATTTTAGTTGAGGGACAATAAATGTAAATTTTGTTAAAGTAGGCACTCTCTCTTAAGGGTAATTTTTTAAGGAAAAGAAGGTGTTTTATCTCATAACTTGCAGCCTTTGCTGCATTAAACAAGAACAGTGCCATTGGGGTGTGGCCTCCTGGGATGATTCACTAAGTTCTCCATCCTCAATGTACCCATTATTCACATTCCTTCCTCTGATGAAGTCCCCATCATTGGACTCTATGGACCTTCAGAGGAAACCAGGAGGACCCCCAAGTTATCGACCTGCTTTGAGTTCATAGTAACGTGTTCCGTTATCCATTCTGCAGAAAACTCCTGGAGGGTGAAGAGTGTCGGATTGGCTTTGGCCCAAGTCCCTTCTCCCTTCCAGAAGGACTCCCTAAAATGCCTTCCACGGCCACTCACATAAAGGTCAAAAGTGAAGAGAAGATCAGGGTGGTAGAAAAGTCAGAGAAGGAAACCGTGATCGTGGAGGAACAGACAGAGGAGATACAAGTGACCGAAGAAGTGACTGAAGAAGAGGAGAAAGAGGCCAAAGAGGAGGAGGGCGAGGACGAGGAACAGGGAGAAGAGGAGGAAGCAGAAGGGGGAGAAGCAACAAAGTCTCCCCCAGCAGAAGAGGCTGCATTGAGGAGGAGGAACGGGGAGAAGAGGAGGAAGCAGAAGGGGGAGAAGAAGCAACAAAGTCTCCCCCAGCAGAAGAGGCTGCATCCCCAGAGGAGGAGGCCAAGTCTCCGGAGAAGGAAGAGGCCAAGTCACCAGCCAAGACCCCCATGAAAGAAGAAGCAAAGTCGCCAGCTGAGGTGAAGTCCCCTGAGCAGGCCAAGTCCCCAGCAAAGGAGGAAGCCAAGTCCCCAACCGAGGTCAAGTCCCCAGAGAAGGCCAAGTCCCCAGTTAAGGAAGAGGCTAAGTCCCCAGCAAAGGAGGAAGCCAAGTCCCCAAATGAGGTCAAGTCCCCAGTGAAGGAAGAAGCAAAATCGCCACCTGAGGTCAAATCCCCTGAAAAGGCCAAGTCCCCAGTGAAGGAAGAAGCTAAGTCCCCCGAGAAGGCCAAGACTCTTGATGTGAAGTCCCCAGGAGCCAAGACCCCAGTGAAGGAGGAAGTAAGGTCCCCCGCAGACATCAAATCACCCGTAAAGCCCAAAAGTCCTGGCAAGGAGGAGGTCAAGTCCCCGGAGAAGGTCAAGTCTCCTGTGAAGGAGGAGGCCAAGGCCCCTGAGAAGGTCTCAAAGAAGGAAGAGGCGAAGTCCCCCATGAAGGAAGACGAGAAACCCCAGGAGGTGAAAGTCAAAGAGCCACCAAAGAAGGTAGAGGAAGAGAAAGCTCCAGCCACACCAAAAACTGAAAAGGATAGCAAGAAAGATGAGGTGCCCAAGAAGGAGGCTCCCAAGCCCGAGGTCCAGGAGAAGCCCAAAGAACCCGTAGCTGAAGCCAAGAAGGAAGAGGCTGAAGGTAAGAAAAAAGCAGCGACTCCGGAGAAGGAGGCTCCTGCCAAGGAGAAGGAAGAGGCAAAAGCCAAAGAGAAGACCGAGGTGGACAAGAAGGAACCAGGTGATGCCAAGGCCAAAGGACCCAGCAAAGCAGCGGAGAAGGGGCCAGAAAAGCCAAAGAAGGAAGAGACATTGGCAGCACCCGAGAAAAAAGATGCCAAGGAGGAGAAGGCCACAGAGGCCAAGAAGCCGGAGGAGAAACCCAAACCGGAGGCCCGGGCCAAGGAAGAGCCCAGCAAGGAGGCCCCCGCACCCAGCAAAGCCAAGACGGAAAAGGCTGAGAAGTCCTCTAGCACAGACCACAAAGACAGCAGGCCTCCAGAGAAGGCCACAGGAGACAAGGCCGCCCAGGGGGAGAAGTAAAGAGGGAGACGGAACATCCGGAGCATCCAAAGAAACTCAGGAGGGTCTGGGAGTTCGAGGGTCGGCATAATCAATTTTCATTTTTTTCTCCCTTCTCTTTATAGAAGAAACTCTGCTTAGCTGGTGGGGCTCCCTCACCAAACAAGACGTTGTTAGCAATATGTTACCAAGGAAGGGCACTCCCCACCCTGCCCCCCGTACCCCAAAACCTCCCCAGGCGATGGACCATTATGTTATGATAGCTTATGTAGCGGAATGTGATATATGCCGAATGCCACACGTAAACACTTGACTGTAAAAACTGCCCCCCTCCTTTCCAAATAAGTGCATTTATTTCCTGTATGTGCAACTGACAGATGACCGCAATAATGAATGAGCAGTTAGAAACACATTATGCTTGAGATGTCTTAACCTATTCCCAAATGCCTTCTGTTTTCCAAAGGAGTGGTCAGGCCCTTGCCCAGAGCTCGCTCCCCTGGAAGAGCCGGAGTGGGTGGGGCTGGGCACTGAACCATGCCAGGGCGCACTTTTCCACCGGAGACCACTTTCAATTGCTTCCGTGCAATAAAAACAAGTGCTTATGAAATGAAATGCTGCTGCTGTTACTTATTCCCCCCCTTGCAGGCCAGGGGACAGAACCAAGGGAGGTTTGGATGTCACAAGACGATACAGGACTGAGCAAGCATCAGGGGGTCTCGAGATTCTGGGACCAGTTACATGGCCTCTCTTGTATTTTTTCCTGAGCACAAACCATGTGCCAGGCAGTGTGCTAGATGCTTTATTTTTATGATCTTACAGACAGGTGGTTTGGTGCATGGCTTATGGATCACCTACATTGGCATTATCTGGGAGCTTTATACAAAGGCTTGATTCCAACTTTAGATTTGTCATTAACCCTTGTTCTGGGAGTTGCTTCTTTCCCTGCCCAACCAGATGCTTCTTAGCCACTTTAGGATATTACAGATGATGTAACCTATAGTCTTAAGCACTATTATGGATTGCTATCGCAGACTAGAGACCGAGGAGACATGATGACTCAATGCAATGTGGTGTCCTGGATCCCAGAACACTAGTAGAGAAACTAGTGAACAGCCAATAGTCTGTAGTTTACGTAATAGTAATGTACCAACATTAATCTCTTAGTTGTGACGAATGTACCATGAACGTGTAAGATGTTAACATTAGAGGGAGCTGAGTGAGGGTATCCAGGAACTCCCTATAAGTTCTATCTTTGCAACTTTTCAGTAAGTTGAAAATTATTTCAAAAATAAAGTTTTTTAAATTGACATATCAAGAGATTACATGATTAAAAACACAGAGATAAATACCAGAGCCTAAGACCTGGAGTTGAAGATAGGGGTCGGGGAGAGGAGGCAAAGACCTCTGTGCATTATTAGCAACAGATTGTAACCAGTCAAAGAAATAGGGACCAAAACATCATTCATTTTTAAATATATTTCATTGATTTCAGAGAGGAGGGAAGGAGAGATAGAAACATCAATGATGAGGGAATCACTGACTGGCTGCCTCCTGCACACCCCGAACCTGGGATTGAGCCCACAACCTGGCACATGCCCTGACCGGGAATCAAACCGTGACCTCCTGGTTCCTGGCTCAATGCTCAACCACTAGGCACACCAGGTGGGCCCATCAGCATTATTTCTGTTACAAGCAGTCAAAACAGAACTAAACTAGCTTAAGCAAAATACTACTGCTACTAATAATTGATAATAAAAAATATATTATTTTACATAACCAAGCAGTTCAAGAAGTTTGAATTGCTTCAGATATAGTTAGATCCGGGGGAAATCTCAAATGATTGCTCTCCAAGATGCTGTCCACTCACTTTGCCATCTCTCGGCTGCTTTCGTGTAGGCTTCATTCTCAGGCAGGACCTCTCCATGTGGTCTCAAGCTTCAGGCTTACATTCCACCAGGTTAGCAAACTTGGGGGGAAACAGAACTCTGTTCAATATTCTGGGAAAAGTCCGGGGGTTGGTTCTCATTGGGCTGGTGTGGATAAAAGGGGTCTTTTGGATTTATTTGTAAAGTTAGGAAAGGGCAAGCTGGGAAGAACACAATGGAGAGACTAGAGCAGGGGTCCTCAAACTTTTTAAACAGGTTTATTTGTAAAGTTAGGAAAGGGTAAGCTGGGAAGAACACAATGGAGAGACTAGAACAGGGGTCCTCAAACTTTTTAAACGGGGCCAGGTCACTGTCCTCAGACCGGTGGAGGCGACTATAGTTTAAAAAAAAACTATGAACAAATTCCTATGCACACTGCACATATCTTATTTTGAAGTAAAAAAACAAAACGGGAACAAATACAATATTTGTATTTGCATGTGGCCCGCGGGCCGTAGTTTGAGGACCCCTGGACTAGAAGATAAGAAATCAAGAACATGGATGGCAGCTTTAAAAAGGCCAGGAACCTGGGCCGAGTCCCTCCCAGGTACAGAACGCCAGAAAGGGCCTGGAGTCTGGGATGTGTCCCAGGGAAGGGAAGGCCAATTCTGGCTGGGGAGGAACAAGTCAAGCCCCTCCCCCTAGTCTGCCCAACCAAGGCACAAATGGTTCAGTTAAGCAGCTCAAAGGGGCTGGATTGTCCTGGGCTTCTCACTGGTTTTAAAACCCTCTCCTTAAAGCCAAAGGATCCTTTTGTTCAGCCTTCTCCTCCGAGGAAGAAAAACTCTCTTCTGGAGGGTGACAGGCTCCGACATCCCTGCCTAGGAAACCAACCCTCCTCCAGCCTTCACAAGCTGTTTGCAACCTTGTCCCGGCTACCAGTTACCAGAGACAAGCTTTTGTGCTGAGTCAGTTTGGCTGCCTTCCAGCCAAGGACGCAGTGGAGACTGCAATGCAGAGGCCATTAAAGGAACTATTTTTAGGCCCCATTTCAATCTTATTCAGCACAGGCGGTGAGATGCAAGGCCTGAAGGTGGCCAGACCAAGGGGATGCTGGCAGGGAGAGTCCCAGGCAAGTAGGTCAGAGAAAAGACAAGGAGAACTCATTCTGTGGAGAGGATGAAGCAACCAGAGGCTCATACCGCTGCCCGAGGTGCAGAAGACAAAAGAAGGGGAGCTGCTCACAGAGAAAGGGGTCCTTCTGCATTATTTGAGGAGTCACCAATACAAATGATGTAACAGTAACTTCCAAAAAGAGACGAGGCAATGTGCACCTGGGGAGCTCGTTAAAAATACACTTCCTCAAGCCCATCTTGGGTTAACTGTGTCCTATTCGAGTGGGGCATGGGAAACTGCATTTCTAGCTGGCTCCTGGGATAGGTGGCTCCTACATGTTGAAGTTCAAGGATCTCTGGATTGGAAAGTATCCACCTCTGGAATTCAAAGGAATGATGTCGGATGAGGGGAAGCAGAGGCACAGGTAGTGGAGGTGATTTAAGAGCCACAGGAGGTGCCCTTCTCCTCTCCTCACCTCACCGGGCTTGGGCTTCCATCTATAAAATGAAGGGCCCTGGCAGGGCTAGGAGTCTCCCAGTTCTTCCTCAAGAAATCCTTGTCGCCCTAACTGGTTTGGCTCAGTGGATAGAGCGTCAGCCTGCGGACTCAAGGGTCCCAGGTTCAATTCTGGTCAAGGGCATGTACCTTGGTTGTGGGGACATCCCCAGTGGGGAGTGTGCAGGAGGCAGCTGATCGGTGTTTCTTTCTCATCAATGTTTCTAACTCTCTATCCCTCTCCGTAAAAAAATCAATAAAATATATTAAAGAAAAAAAAGAAAAGAAATCCTTGTCTCTGGGTGCTCAGCGATCAGCTGAGAGGACAGGAGAATAACAGCTTTTATACCAGAGGTCCGTGTTATCCAAGGATAATCAGTACAAGTCCACTAAAGGTGAATACACGTACACTGGGACCAAACTTAAAAGTATGTTGTGGGAGAAAAAACACATCTGATTGGGACTATCACATAAATAAAATTTACATTTTTGAAAGTTGCTAAGAGTAAATCTTAAAAGTTCTTAACACATACACAAAACTTATTCTGGTGATCATTGTGCAATATACAAAAAATCAAGTTGTACACCTTAAACTTACACATTGTTATGTCAATTATATCTCAATAAAGCTGAAAGAAACTTACCTTGTAGCTAGCAAACTTTAGATTATACTTGCAACTAGGTAATAATTCTTATATATTTTTACATCTTTATATCTGACTTGTTAAAATGAATAAAGAATGAACAGGGTACTGATTTGGAGGAGTATAATTTTTCAGATGAACCTGCCCAAGAACACTTGATGCCACCCTTCATTTCATTCGACTTTTGCAGGATTACAAAGAAGTAATTTTGCAAACGTTTTAGAAGGTGTTACCTATTTTCCCAGGACTTCTCTTAATCCTTTGAGAGTCAAATCACTATTTTTGGAGGCACTCAGCCTGTCTTCATCATGAAGGTTCTCAGATGCCACCTGGCCCCACTCTGCCAGAGCCTCACTGCGTGGCAGCTCTGCACGTGAGTCTCCAAAATCACTCATCAACTTCACCAAATCCTGCACAATTTACAATTATTCTTTGTGATGTATTTGTCTCCTATGTGCACTGCACTGTCAGACGTTCATGACATGCAACGATCAGAGAATGTGGCCATCAGAGACACCGACACGACAGGTCCAGTGGAGAGATGAGGGGAGGGGAAAGAAGAGCTTTGGGTTTGTGCTACACTGATTTGGTTTCCCCTGCCACCTCCTAATAGCACGGACTCAGGATAATAAATACCTAGATTAAGCATGTCGAACTCGCGGCCCGTGGGCCCCATGCCTCGTTTACTTGGCCGATGTTAGCCTTGAGTTTGACATGCTTGACCTAGATAATGAGGACTGCCCAAAGCAGAAACAAGTAAGGTGAGGTTGGCCACCCTGAGAAAGTCTACCCACAAATTCTCTTTCATACTGTGCTGTGGCTCCTACTGGACCTTACAGACTGCAAAGCCACCCCCTCCTCCCAAAAGAGCCACCAGACAAAGGCCACTTGGTCAGATGACACTTTAATTGGCTAGAAATATAAAACCTGACTTTGGAGACTATCAGGAGCCACATGTGGAACAGAAGAGGAAGCGGAGGCACAGCACCGAGGGCCCAGGGGAAACAACAGGCCGAGCAGGTCAGCGATGGCTGAAGAATCCTTGAGGATGGTTATATTTAAACGGCTTCATCCTGCTGGGACCCCTAGAGAAACAGGAGAAGGGGGACGGAAGAAATTATGGTTACCCGCACAATACTGTACAGCTGTTAGGGGAAAAAATAAACGTGTGAGAAAAGCAGACTGCAGAACAATATGTAAGGTGTGATACCATTTTTGTAAAAATGTCTATATGCTTGCAAATGCATGAACACAGGCCTGGAAGGGCCCTCACTGACAATGGGCACTTCTGGGGAGAGGATGTGGGCACCCTCACTTTTTAATATATTTAACAACTGTTGATTGTTGTTTCTATGTTTAACAATAAACATGGTTTAGTTCTATAATTTAAAAAAATAAAAGGAAAAACTTAAAAACCTCTTTTGCAAGGAGAGTCCCATGCAAGAGAGAGGTAGGACTCTGAAGTCGGGGTGAAAAGAATCTGCAAAGTTAGATGCTGTTGCTGTAATTTTGTAAGTTTTACAGATGGAGAAACAGTCTCAAGGAGTTAAACTATCTGCCCAGCATTGTACGGTCAGAAGGTGGCAGAGGCCAAATTCAAGACCATGTCCGACGCCAAGCCTTGACCTCATGAAGCTTAGGTGCTTCAGCTATCATCCCGGGCCCCCAAGCAGAACTTCACACAGGGTCCCCTTCCACACAGCTCCCCAGTAACGGATGTCCAGGTGAAGGGCCTCCTTTATTCATCTGCCTATGACTGACATTCAGTAGTAACCACTAGGTAACACCCTGGATCTTGGTCTGAGTAAGGGAAGATAGGAGGGAGTGTGTGTGTGCGTGCACGCACGCATGCGATTGCAGATACAGAGAAAAAAGGTTTTAATTCCCACACCAGGAAAACCACTTACCTAAGTGTGGGTTTATTCTGCTTGCACCGTGCTTGGCACTTTATATACTCCATATGGTTTAATTTCACCCTCCCAACCATACCTGAAGTGAATGTTGTTTTACCAGCAAGGAATCCGAAGCTCAGAGAGACTAAGTATAGACCCTAATCACACAGGTAGGAGCAGCAATTTGAACCTAGGTCAGTGATGGCGAACCTATGACACCTCTGACACGCGAACTCATTTTTTTGGTTGATTTTTCTTTGTTAAATGGCATTTAAATATATAAAATAAATATCAAAAATATGTCTTTTTGTTTTACTATGGTTGCAAATATCAAAAAATTTCTATATGTGACACGGCACCAGAGTTAAGTTAGGGTTTTGCAAAATGCTGACACGCCGAGCTCAAAAGGTTCGCCATCACGGTGCTGTCCTCTCCTCTGTTTTTACTCTTTTTACTTATGCTCTCCCCTCTGTCTGAAGTGCCATGTCCCCTGCATGTCACCAGACTGACTCTTGCTCCTTTAAAAAGACTCAGCTCAGCCCCTACCCTCATTCCATCCCATCCCAGGCTAGGAGACTTCCCTGGAATCCCGAGTCCCTGCCTGAGTCACCGCAAAAAATTTCTATATGTGACACAGCACCAGAGTTAAGTTAGGGTTTTTCAAAATGCTGACACGCCGAGCTCAAAAGGTTTGCCATCACTGATAGGTCTCTCTGGTCCCAAAGCTTTTGCTTGTAACCATGAGGTCATATACCTCCCAACACCAGAAGGGCACTGTCATTTGGGCAAGTCTAAGAATACGTCTGATGGAGAACCCGCAGCCTGAAGGTACCCACCAGCCTCTGTAAACTTTTTGTGCTGAATGTTGGGACTGGCTATGCTAAATAAACTTGTTGCATTAAAAAAAAAAAAAAAGTTCAGCTTCCTGGCTTGATCCCAAGGGTCAGGACTTTAGGTCAAGAACCTCACACCTCACCAGTCATGGAGTTAATTAGATCTGAGTGGCCAAAGCTGCACCTTCCAATGCCCTCACAGAGCTCAGCGTGGGTGACATACAAAGCACTTCAGAAAAGGAGTCCCTGGGGAACCATTAGAGAACAGAAAAGAAACACTGGCCATGTGAGATCCCACCCTAGGAATGTGCTACAGCAGGCTGGCAGGGTGGGAAGAGCTGAGGTCTCACACAGACCCACGAGGGAGAGCAAGTCCGAGAAGGCACCAACATCCAGCACCAGCACCAGCTCCCAGCAGCCACTGGGGGTTAGAGCTGGTTATTATCAGATAGCACCACAAATCACCCAGGCGGAGGTGCCAGACACAGAGGGGAGGATGCTGGGGACACGTTCCCCAGGCTGGGACTGGTTGCCTGAGGAGGTGAGGGGCAGATAAGGCACCTCCTAGACTGATAGGGAACGGGGGGATGTCCTGATTAGAAACAGATTCTAGCCCTTCCCCTTCCCAGACACCATTCCTCTCCAAGCCCTTGCCCCAAACGGAGATGCCTGAGCAATATGAACTTGGGAGTTCTGGAATGGACTCTAAGAACATGAGTGAGGGGACGAGAGAGAGAGGACCCCAAAGCGACAGGAAAAGTACCCAGAAGTGCTAGGAAAGCAGACATGCTAAATACCGAGCTGTCAGACCTGCTGGCATTTTGTGAGCCCCGGTCTATGCTAGGAACCATGCTGGAAACTTCATGTAAATTAGAGCTAATTTATCATGAGCCTGAAGGTTATATTTCCTTCAGCCTTTAGGAAATAGACTCAGGGCTGAGCTGAAGTGATTCTTCCAAGGTGAGCAGCAAAGCAGAGATCTGTACTTGTGTTTGTCTTCCTTCAAGGCTGGCTCTTGATGGGAAGCCCGACTGCCTAAAGCTGTGATCCTCAAAGATGTGTGAACGCCTTAGGAAGAGCACAGTAGGCCTGGTGGAGGTGCATCTAGATAAAAGGCTGATTTGGATAGTACAGAAAGCATGGAAAGTAAAATTCAGCTAAATCCTCTTGGTTCATGGTTCAGTGCTGCTCACTCAGTGGGGGGGGTCCCCTTCAGAGGGTGCTTGTGAAGAACAATTGGGCCAGGCTGGTAAGCGCGGCTGCAGGAAGTTTCAGGAAGGAGGCAGCAAGCTCTCCCCAGGAAATTCGGCAGCAGGACTTTAAATAACTCTGTGAACAGAGATCAGTGCACCCGGGAACAGGTATGTCCTCTACACCAGGCTCTGATCTCTGCCCTGTGAGAGGCAGGACTGGAGGTCCCTGGCACTCTGACCCCGCCCCTCACCTGAAAAGCCGCAGACACATCTTCTCCTGGGGAAACTCCTTGGGCCCCTCCATGCTGTCATCGTGGATCTCGGTCTCCAGGTAGACGTCCAGTAGCACGCACAGGCGCTGCAGCTGGTTGGTCAAGAGCTGATGGCCGGGCCGGGGCCCACACAGCTCCTTGTAGCACACGTTGACCTCGCTCTCCATGGCCTACAGAGTGGGAAGTCCGGACACTCAGCACGACCTTCAGACTGCTGGGTCTGACAGCTCCACAGAACGGCAGCTGGGCCTGTGCAGGAGCTAGCGCACACCACATCAAGCCGGACTGGATTATCCTAAAGCTCCCCGTCCTCAAATCATGGGGTCTTCCTGATTCTGACCCATAGCTTTCCCTGCCTTGTACATCCACAGCCAAGAGGACGGAGGTGTGTAGAGAAGGACTCTCAAGCTGAGATCCAAGTCAGAAGGAGTTAGAGTTAAAAACATGCTCCACAGCCTTAAGGCCACCACTGAATCAAGTCATCAGGCATAATAATTAACAGCGCCCTAACCGGTGTGGCTCAGTGGATAGAGCGTCAGCCTGTGGACTGAAAGGTCCCGGGTTCGATTCCGGTCAAGGGCATGTACCTTGGTTGCGGGCACATCCCCAGTAGAGGGTGTGCAGGAGGCAGCTGATCAATGTTTCTCTCTCATTGATGTTTCTAACACTCTATTCCTCTCCCTTCCTCTCTGTAAAAAAATCAATAAAATATATTTTAAAAAATAATAATTAACAGCTGCAATGATCTCATACTCATCTCATTCCAGCAATCCTATGCTTCTGAGGTAGCTCACATTTGCACAGAAGCCCATGACAACCACCTTTCAAGGCAGGTATTTATATTTTCCCTAATTTGTAAGTGGGGTGAAACCTGTGGACCTCAAACTAGGTAACTGGTTGAGATGGGTCTAGGTTCCTTCCACTACAGCATGCAGCCTCCAATATAGTCTCTAAATCCTGGCGGGCTCCTCTGTCCTAGGAATTACGCCAGTGTCCCAGCCTTTAGCTCCCCAGAGAGGTTCCTCCTGCTCCTCTTGTCACCCCAGCAGGGCCTTACCCGAATATTGTCATCATTGCTGTTGGTTTTCTCCCCTTTCCAGTTCAGACAGAGCTGGAAAATGGGTGGGATGGAGGAGTAGCCGGGGTTCAGCACCACAGCTGCCTGGAGTTTGGCTGGGAAGGGAAAGGAGGAAAATCAGTTGTGACCCAGATTGGCAGCCATGCACCGTCCCCAGCGGACCCCTAAGGCTAGCTCTGAGGTCCCCTATTAATCCGAGTGCTCCAGAGCACATTCTGGTACTAAATGACTTTTATGTTTGTTCTGGAACCTCCGAAGTGGAACTGCTAGGTTATAGACGTGATGCCTGTGACTCTGGTCCCTCTAAGGAGGCAGAGGGGTGTGGACTCCCCAGAGTCTAGTCCACACTGGGTTTGCCTGAGTTCTATTTGGTCCTTTGACAGAAGTTGGTTTTAATTGACATTTATTTGCCAGCAAGTTAAGGATTTTCCCAGGTAAAGACTTACTGGTTTTTCAATATTGTGTATTAGCTGTTACACCAAAGTTATCCTCTCTATTCTGTTCCTTTTATTTTTAGATATTGTTATGTAGAAACTTGTTAACAGCCAACATTTATTGAGTACTTATTCTGTTTCCGAGCACTGTGCTATTACGCACACTTTATTTCATCCTAACAATGATTCTGAGATGGATACCATTATTATCATCCCCACTGTACATATACAGAAACTCAGGCTTCAAGAGAAACCTTCTTAAGATCAAACAGGTGCAATGCAAAGCACTGTGCTATTACACACACTTTATTTCATCCTAACAATTCTGAGATGGATACCATTATTATCATCCCTATTGTACATATACAGAAACTCAGGCTCCAAGAGAAACCTTCTTAAGATCAAACAGGTGCAATGCAGCAGTGCTGACTTTAACTGCCTGATGTCAGCACTGTGTTCATAATCATTCAATGAAATATTTGTATTTCTTTAACACATTCATTTTTTCTCTGGGGGAAGTCTTTGCCACTCTCAATAGGATGACATTTATCGTCTCCACCAATGGGCTAAGTATGCCATTCTTTTTTCACTATTTATGGGAGGATTTAAAAAAGAACTCTCTGACACACCAGTAATTCAAATAACAGCGGGCAAGAGAGTGTGGGTTAAGACAATTCTTCCCCATGGGGAAAAAAAGGAGACATATGTACTATTTGTATTTGTAATACTTTAAACAATAAAATAAAATAAAAAGTAAAAAAGAACTCTCTGACACACCAGTAATTCAAATAATAGCGGGCAAGAAAGTGTGGGTTAAGACAATTCTTCCTCATGGGGAAAAAAAGGAGACATATATACTACTATTTGTATTTATAATACTTTAAACAATAAATAAATTTAAAAAAAGACAATTCTTCCCCAACAGTCACAAAAACATTTATTATAAAGTGATTCCTTTCTTTACTGTTGTGTTGCCTCTGTCACAGTAGTCTGTATATATTTCTGGATTGAACTCTATTCAACAACTTTTTGATCTATATTACGTAAACTTTTCAAACCGATCTGTTGTATGACTTAAGGATTATACATATGTACTTGGGTTTGTTGCCCACTTATTCATTTAAATTTCAACCTTAATTTTTCAAATTCTTCAATACAGCTAATGAAAATTTTAATTTTCATTGATTTTATGTATGAATCTAGAATACTTATTATCATTCCAAGCTTTCATCTGCTCATATATATTTCTGGATTGAACTCTATTCAACAACTTTTTGATCTATATTACGTAAACTTTTCAAACCGATCTGTTGTATGACTTAAGGATTATACATATGTACTTGGGTTTGTTGCCCACTTATTCATTTAAATTTCAAACTTAATTTTTCAATACAGCTAATGAAAATTTTAATTTTTATTCATTTTATGTATGAATGTAGAATACTTATTATCATTCCAAGCTTTCATCTGCTCAACCAGGATACAGAAGTAATGTCTTCCAATGACTTTCTACACTTGGGGCTTCATAAATTTTTGGGCTGCATAGAGATGAGGTAAAAGTATATTTTAAAAGAGGAGAGGATGAAAAGCAAATGCAAAGCGCTGGCTGGGTAGCTCAGTTGGCTAGAGCATCGTCCCAATACACCAAGGTGAGGGTTCAATCCCTGGTCAGGGCATAAACAGCAGTCCACCAATGAGTGAATAGATAAGTGGAACAACAAATTGATGTTTCTCTCTCTAAAATCAATTAAAAAAAAAAAGGTCTACAGCCATATCACCCTGAATGCACCCGATCTCATCTCACCTCGGAAGCTAAGCAGGGTTGGGCCTGGTTAATACTTGGATGGGAAAAAAAGCAGCAAATGCACAAATTCTAAATAGTAGTCCCCTACCATGAGGGAGAGCATAAAGTGGGATTGAGAACCTCACTGTATCTGAAATACTTAATTTCCTCAGAATATTTTTAAAAACACACGAAGAAAAAGAGAAGGGAAGAAAAAACTACAAACAAGTCCCCCAATCCTGTGGCCTCAGTACCAAGCCCCGGGGATCCGATCCTGTGGTCCGAGCTAGGCCTGCCGAGGCTGGGGCCGGGCAATAGCATCACAGGGAGTATCTGGGTGGCTCAAGCAGGAAGCCCTGGCGAATCAGATGCCAGGACACCTGTGAGGAATCACAGTTTTGATGCCTCCAATGAGCGCAGAAACCGCAGAGAGGGAGGAAGGTCCTGCCACCCCGCACCTCACAACCTCAGACACGTCAGTCCTTCTGGGATGAGGGGTAAGAACAGGTGTCCGATTCTAGAGAGCAGTAAAGTCAAGAGCTCAGGGTCAGAGGTCAGACTGGGTTTATGACTAAGTCTTAACATCTTCACCTATAAAATGAGAATATTACCATCCCTAGGACAGTCATGAGGATTAAATGAGAGAGAGGGACACGTCAGTCCTTCTGTGATGAGGGGTAAGAACAGGTGTCCGATTCTAGAGAGCAGTAAAGTCAAGAGCTCAGGGTCAGAGGTCAGACTGGGTTTATGACTAAGTCTTAACATCTTCACCTATAAAATGAGAATATTACCATCCCTAGGACAGTCATGAGGATTAAATGAGATAAAGTACTCACCTAACGGTGGCTGTCACATTCATTACTATTTGCTAAGTCCTGCAGCAGGATTCCACATCTTTCACTTTCTTTGGGCAATTTCCAGGAATGTTTTATTCTCAGCCACTCCCCTTGCCTAGAACCACTGTTATGAGCAGAACAAATTACCTGTGCCCCTTTCCACGAGTGCCATGTAGTAGAGATTGGTGTCCCCAGCCAGTCCTGCCTCCACAATGTCTTTGGTGAAATGCAGCTCCTAGAAGTCAACACAGACAAGGAATGAACTGCTGGCTCCTTTAAAACCTCCTGCCCGCCTGGTGGAGACATCGGCCTACGGTCCCCAGGACAGCAATGATGACCCGTCACTCCTCTACCTACCACGTAATCCTCATGGGCAATCGTCACCCACTTCACCAGGCGAGAGACAACCTTTGCAGGGAAGAGGTAGTGGCAATCGCTAGTAACTGGTACAATGCCATGTTCTAAAAGAGAGCAAGACAGGTGGAGGGCCAGGCGGGACTGCACTCTGGTCTTTAGCAGTTTCATGGTGGTCTCCATGTGGCTGGAGCTCAGCGAGTGGTCAGCGATCACCGTGGGCTGGGGCTGCTCTTTAGGGAAGTGGAGGCCACCCAGCTTCTGTACCCACAAGTAGGGGTGTCCTAAATCAAGGACTTGAAGTCTCTCCAAGTCAGGATGCCCACTTTATCAAACTGGTACTGATTGGCTGGATTTGGCCTTTTCTTTCCATGATCCCCAGGATACAGACAGCTCAGAACTGTGTCAGGAGACAGCAAGTCACTTGCACTGATGGGGGTGATCAACTCCGTGGCAGTTGTCACTTTGCCTTTTACTGTCATGATATTGAGGTTCATGAGATAGTAAAAGGTCAGGTGAAGCACACTGTCATCTTTGCACTTCAGGTCCAGCATGACAGACAGCGGGTGCGTTTTCAGCATCTCCTTGCGTTTGTCATCCAACTGGACTCCCAGTGTGGGTGGTCTGCTCTTCCTTGGCATCCGACTGGCATTTCAATAAGCAAATATGCCAACACAGTAAACGCTGCCCAGGATGACAATCATCCAACCTTGAGACGAAACAAATGCAGCAACGCTGATGGGAGAAAGGCCTGACGGACAAGCAATGCTGCCCTGGAGAGACCAGGGTCCACGTGGAGCACAAGACCGAACCAGAAGGGCAGGGTCTCCCGATGGTCCTGGAAACCCAATGACTTTCCTGACAGCCCTTGAAACAAATGCAGCAATGCTGATGGGAGAAAGGCCTGACGGATGAGCAAAGCTGCCCGGAGAGACCAGGGTCCACATGGAGCACAAGACCGAACCAGGGGGGCAGGGTCTCCTGATGGTCCTGGAAACCCAATGACTTTCCTGACAGCCCTCTTATGTCAGAAAGACCTTAACCCTCACTATCTTGCAAGTGCCTTGTACGTAGTAAGCCCATGACAAGTATTTACTGAATGAATGAATGAAAAGAAGCCCCATATGGCCCACACTGTGGCCAATGGCTCAGCAGAATCACCTGGGAGCTTATGAAAGAGGGGCTCAGCCTTACCCTGGAGGGTGTTAGCTCAGTAGGTCTCAGGGAGGGATGAGGAGTGGATCCCTGTACAGCTGTGTTCAAAGAAGCTGAAGGTGGGCTCCATGAATCATGACCTGGACTCCCACTAAATATCTGTAGGATGCACACCGAAGTCGGACATCCGCTAACTTAGGATGAGCTGCCCCCGACCAACTTGTGCCACCAGAAGGCTCCGGCCCTCCTCTGTGAACAGCCCTGATGACCCTGGGGGAGCTCAGATCTGTGCTTGGATGGCCTACAGCTCTCTCCAGCCGCCCTGCCAACACCGCAGCTCAGCAAGAGCCCGAAATCCAGCCCTCTTTCATTTGTTGTCAGGATTCCAGACATCTGAATGAAGAGCTAGGTTGTTTTTGTCCCTGTGTTGAATGAATGGCTCTCAAGCCACAGCCCCAACACCAGCTTACCCAGGGACGCGAACTGTTTGTGGAGGGCCAGGCGGGACTGCACTCTGGTCTTTAGCAGTTTCATGGTGGTCTCCATGTGGCTGGAGCTCAGCGAGTGGTCAGCGATCACCGTGGGCTGTGGATGACAGCAAGAGGCACACCTGAGTGCTCATCCCTTCCTCCAGGCATCGCCTCTCTCCTAGGCCCTGCCTGCCTGTGGCAGCCAAGCTCACCCATGCCCTGAGGTGGGCACCTGACGGGGAAAGGCAGGGTTTACCTGCTGTGACAGGCCAGACGCTGAGTCCTAGCAGGAGCGACACAAGCTGCTGGGTTTTTAGGAGGCTGTGGCCAGCTCCTCAGAAAAGGAAAGCTTCTGCTAAGGGGCCAGATGCCCTGGGTTCTGCTTACACTTCATTTTTGGCCTCTTTGTACACAAGACCAAGGGGCAGCAGAGCCTTGAGTTGTGCTGCACCCAGAGCAAGGACCCAAGTTACTTTGATCTAGAGGGTTTCTAGACTCAGGGAGAAGGCAGAGGTACCTAAACACTTGTAGGCCTTGGGCATTTTAGTGTCCTGAGTGGAGGGTGGACAGATCATATCCTTAAGGGAACACATTCTGCTAATGTAAAGCCCCCAAAAGCCACCAGAAGCCTTTCTGGAGTCTGTATGGGTAGAGAGGAGGTAGAGCTCTCCAGCTAAGGAGATGGGATCAGTGTACACACCTGGGGCTGCTCTTTAGGGAAGTGGAGGCCACCCAGCTTCTGTACCCACAAGTAGGGGTGTCCTAAATCAAGCACGTAGTCTCTCAAAGTCAGGATGCTGCATAAAAGAGTAAAATAATTTTATAAGTCCTTTCTGCAATGGTCCCAGGATATAGTCTTCCTCCCAATCACCCCAAACAGGTCAGCCCCGCAGGCTCAGCCTCTTGACTTGAGCGGTTACCAATTGTAAATGTCATCTCTCCCAGTTCACTTTTCTCTTTTCCTGACAGTCCTCCACTAATAAGCAAATCTCAATAGAAAGGTGTGCACATGACCGTTCTCCTTACCAGTTTACCAAATCATAAAATAGTTTAAAATGTTTGTAATCCTCAGAGAATTAAAATGGTCAACACTTTTATTGTATCACGTGTTCTTATCATGTTCCCCACCCACCCATCCATGACCGCCGTTTGCCTCCTAAGCAGGAAAGCTCCTGTGTGCCCTTCTCTCAATAGAGCATTCTCCCCTGCCCCACGGTCTCCCTACCCCCCGAGAGGCTCTGGCCCTACCAGGTCTCCTGCATTAAGCTTGAGCCACCAGAGAAACTCAGAAGCAGAGAAGCTGAGAAAGGAGGAAATACTGCTGACTCACCCCACTTTATCAAACTGGTACTGATTGGCTGGATTCGGCGTTTTCTTTCCATGATCCCCAGGATACAAACAGCTCAGGACTGAGTCAGGAGACAGCAAGTCACTGGAAAGGGAGCAGACTGCAGTGAGAATGCGGCCCAACACCTTGTCTCGAGGCAGACTTGGACATTCGGGGTGGTCATGCCACTTCGCATTGATGATCAATGCCACCGTTTATGGAATGCTTCCTGTGAGTCAGATGCTTTATACACCTGAGGTCATTGGATCTTCATAACCCTATGAGGTACAGAGTATTATCATTTCCATTTTATAGAGGAGAAACTCAAGGCTTTGAAAGATATGGCTTGTCCAAAACCATGCTGCTAGTAAGTGCTGGAGCTGAGATTTGCACTAAGAAAAGGTAGTAGTACTGCCCTAACTGATTTGGCTCAGCGGATAGAGCGTCAGCCTGTGGACTGAAGGGTCCCAGGTTCGATTCCAGTCAAGGGCACATGCCCGGGTTGCAGGCTTGATCCCCAGTAGGGGGCATGCAGGAGGCAGGTGATCAATGATTCTCTCTCATCTTTGATGTGTCTGTTGCTCTCTCCCTCTTCATTCCTCTCTGAAATCAATAACAATATATATTTTTTAAAAAGTCAGTAGTACTCTTACCCACCAAAAAACAAGAAAAAAAACCTATCCATCTGGCCAGTGTGGCTCAATGGTTGAGTGTCGATCCAGGAACCAGGAGGTGGCTGGTTTGATTCTCAGTCATCAGGGCATATGCCCGGGTTTCGGGGTCCATCCCCAGTAGGGGGCATGCAGGAGGCAGCTGATCGATGAGGTCTTTTCTCATCAATGTTTCCATCTCTCTATCCCTCTCCTTCCCCCTCCCTCTAAAAGCAATAAGAAAACAAACAAACAAAAAACCCCTATCCCTCAAAGTCATATGGTGATCAGGGCCTTATCTAAGGGGAGCAAAGCCACATGACACTGGAAATAATAATCATAACTTTTATAGAAGCAGAAACATCCCTTTCTACCTCAGAAAGGAAGTGTGCAACTTTGGTGCTGTGTCTATCACACTTTGACCAAATTTCACGCTGCTCACAAGAAAATGCCCCCTTTCTTTTCGAAGAAAAAGACATTATCACCTGCACTGGAGACAAGGTGGCCCAGTGCTATAAGCAGAAAGACAGTGACACTGCTGCCACCCAACTGGAATGGCTAGGGCACAGCCCGTAATTAAGTGTGACAAGCAGAGAAGAGAATTGGGGGAGCATAATAATAGAGTAATCTGATCACAAAGGACAACAGGGCCCACTCTTTCCCTCAACCAGTATAGAGGTCTCCATTTTTTCAGGAATAGCATCAGGAGCCACTCAGGCAGAAGAGCTAATCCTGCTGCCCTGAGCCCCCAAAATGACTTCGGGACTTAATACTGCGACACTGGCAGCTTTTGGCTCTCCTCTGTTCTCCGTCTCTCCCCAGAATCTCTCTGTCTCCACTATTACCCAGCAAGGGTCTGCCCCTTTCACTGCCTCGCATGGAAAACTGGCTAGAAAATAAATAAGAATTGCCAGTCCTTGGCCAATATTTGGTGGCTATTATTAACAGAATGAATCAACCAAAATAAAACAAAACAGCTACAATTGCACATAAGGGTTTCTAACTGACAAATCTTGACGGAAGAATCAAAAAATTTTTTTAAGTTTTTATTGATTTTAGAGAGAGAGGAAGGGAGAGGGAGAGGGAGATAGACTCATCGATTGGCTGCCTCCTGCATGCCGCCTACTGGGGATTGAGCCTGCAACCTGGGCATGTGCCCTGACTAGGAATTGACTAGGTGACCTCTTGGTTCTGGGTCTATGCTCAACAACTGAGCCACGCTGGCTGGGGAGAAGAATAAAATCTCCTTGACAAAACTTACATCTGTAATATATATCTCAAGACATCTGACTTTGGTAAAAACAACAGACATGAAAGGGGAAGCTATAGTCATAAAAATACAACATCGAAACAAAAAGCTATTCAATTAGTCAAATCTTCGTTATAAAATTTTAATGGAAAGGGATTTAAAAAACCTTGGTAAAATAAAAATGGAAAATGAATAAAAATAGTTTAATGGCTTAATAAAAAATTAATGGATTAAAATGCCCCAATGGAGATCATTATGGAAAATAATTTGAGGAAAATTCAGCAAGGCTAGTATAATTCTGATTAAAATGTTTGTGTTAAAAACATTAATTCCCTAATGAAAAAGTCATCAATATCGCAAAGATAGATAGCTCGGGTCTCCTGATGGAAGCACTCAACATCTATGACACATTCCTGCCCCTTTGTCCCCTCCAAAAAATCAAAATAGAATTTCATCAATCCTCTAGATCTAACTACAATTTATATGAAATACATGGGGAAGGAGTAACCATAAAACTGTACTGTAGGGATGCAATCATCAAAATCTAATTCTGGAGGAAAACTACAGAGAAAACAACACAATTTCTCAACAAAAGATGGCAGACACTGCCCTGGCCTGTTTGGCTCAGTGGATAGAGCATCGGCCTGTGAACTGAAGGGTCCCAGGGTCGATTTCGGTCAAGGGCATGTACCTTGGTTGCGGGCACATCCCCAGTTGGGGGTGTGCAGGAGGCAGCTGATCCATGTTGCTCTCTCATCGATGTTTCTAACTGTCTATCCCTCTCCCTTCCTCTCAGTTAAAAAAAAAAAAAAAAAAAAAAAAAAAGATGGTAGACACATTTAGATGAAAAGGTGCCTGAGAGAAGCTTCACCCAATTGCAACATATGGACCATACAGAGACCCTGACTCAAACCCAAACGGTAAAAACCAAACGAAAACAACTAACTTAGAGAAAACCAGGGATACTTGCACTCTGACTGGCTACTGGGTGATATACTGTGATCATATCAAGAGGGTCAAAAAGACAGTCAGATAAATAAAACCATCCATCAGGCTGGTGTCTCCAGGGGCCACAGCAGCCTGTACTGGAGCCAAGGCCTCTGGACTGGGGGTCTGGAGCTCTAGACCCAGGGCTTGCACGATCATATGCCCCCTGGACCTGTTTATCCATCTGTACAATAAGGGGATGAACTAGACAAAACCTGAAGGCTCACTTTCTTCAAAAACCCCGCAGGGCCCACCACAGTCCTCCTCCCACTGCCCAGGTTAAGGACAATCTGGGATTGAGCTGAGTGTAAAGTGAAAATCCCAGCACCTTGTGATAGAAAAAGAAAAGCTGTCAACCTGATAATGTCTGCCAAATTGCATTTTCATGCTCTTCCAACACTGGCTGTGAAAGCTGTTCCTCTGCCCCACCCCCTCGATTTGCAGTATGCCGCAGTCACTTTTATCATCTGCTGTGTAGCAGGACGTCACTAAGTCAAGTCGGTCAGTGCTTTCTAAATACCAGTGACGTGCCAGGACTTCCAGGCCAGTGGACATGACGACAGAATTCAAAGTAGGCACGAACCTCTCAGGGACAGAGGAGAGAGAAACTGAGAGCAGCCCGGCACCACGGCGCTCGTCCCAGCCCCAGCCCTTGTCCCCCTCCGCCAGGCCTGCTCCTACCCTGCACTGATGGGGGTGATCAGCTCCGTGGCAGTTGTCACTCTGGCTTTTACTGTCATGATGTTGAGGTTCATGAGATAGTAGAAAGTCAGGTGAAGCACACTGTCATCTGGACGGGGAGGGAGAGAAAAGGATGCACGAGTTAAACATGAGAGCAGAGTTATTAGTTTTACAGAAAGGGACGTCAATGAGGCTTTAAGATATTTTACTATAAAAACAAAAACTCAGTGGCAATTTAAGGTTGAGGAAAAAAAAAGGCAGAGCGTCTACAAATTCCTTGTTACTTCTCCCCGCAAAAGGTAGATCTCCATTTCCCTCCCCTTGAGTGTGGGCTGGACTTACAGACCCTGCCTCTGACAAAGACAGTATGAAAGGGAGTGATCAAGTGATCACCAAGTGGATCCGAGTTTACATCACCAGGAATAAGACACAATGATACCATGTACCCCTGACAATGAAGATAATCAGAGAACTATGAAATCAGAATCTGTTCTTGGGCAAAGAGGCCCCTGGCTTGCGGGGCCCTGTGCCCCTACAGCTGGCGGAACTCCTAAGTGCTATGGGACCCCCAGAACAAGGGAGCCAGACCTTTGCACTTCAGGTCCAGCATGACGGACAGCGGGTGTCTCTTCAGCATCTCCTTGCGTTTGTCATCCAACTGGACTCCCAGTGTGGGTCGCCGGCGTTTCTGGACAAAGGAAAGAATGGACATGATGAGCACTGGTCGTACAAAATCTCTCCCTGCCTTCTCCCTACCGGCCAGGGCCTCAGCACTGCTGCCTGGGACCTGATGCTTCAGCTATTCAGTGGCCAGGCTCCCAGCAGCCCTTTCCTTCAAACCTTTCTTCTGCTTCTAGGAAGGATGGCACCTGCCAACTAGCGGGCCCCGGTGCAGCTGCTTGGCACGCCCACAAGAGGGAACGGCTCTCACCGTGGTCTGCTCCTCCTCGGCATCCGAGTCGCTCTCGTCATCTGCAGACACAGAGAGAAGGCGTATAGAGTGGAGGGGGCTCCCGATGCTCCCTAAAGCACCTCAACCCAGGGCGGAAAGGGGCCCAGACTCTCTATCATTTATTAATGCTTCTTTTAGGATAAATTAATTTGCTGCTTCATATTCAGTATAGAAAACATGAGGATGCAAGAAAACAAAGAAAAATGGCCCTGACTGGTTTGGCTCAGTGGATAGAGCATCGGCCTGCGGACTGAAGGGTCCTGGGTTCGATTCTGGTCAAGGGCATGTACCTTGGTTGCGGGCACATCCCCAGTAAGGGGTGTGCAGGAGGCAGCCAATCGATGTTTCTCTCTCATCATTGTTTCTAACTCTCTATCCCTCTTCCTTCCTCTCTGTAAAAAAATCAATAAAATATATTTAAAAAAAACAACAAAGAAAAATGACCTGTAATCACACCACCCATCTTTTTAGAGTTTTTTTTTACGTGTTTTTTGATGTTCTCCTATGCCCCTCCACTGGTAGTGGTGGTGGTGGTAGCAATAATAGTAATAAAGTAACAATAATAGCAGCTCATATAATTTGAGTGGTTGCTATGTGCCCAGGATGATGCTAAAGGCTTTTGCATGCATAACCTTGTTTAATTCACATAATTCTACATGAGGTGTTACTATCTGTTTGGACAGGTGACTAAACTGAGGCTCAAAGGTTAAAGTGCTTCCCCGGAACCAGTGAGCTAGTGAGTGCAGGGCTGAAATCCACAGGCAGGGCTTTCCCTGTCCCCCACTGAACATAGTCAAGCTCCCTGTTAAACAAAACCAGTGCAGCTAACTTCCACAGGGCCAGCACTGCCCTCAGGTGGTGACTTGGTGTCCCCGGAGCCAGCTAAAGACGGGGGAGGATCTGACCAGCACATTACCTTGGGATTCCTCGTGAGGTTTAAACAGGGCCTTGGCTTCGTCCACACTGCCTTCGATCGCCACAGACAGTGTTTTATCTGGGAGCAAGAAGAAGCTTTGTATGACAGCCGCTGAGGGTAGGAGCTCAGCCGCACAGGCAGGCCAGCTCCGGGACTGCATCTCTTCTGCCTTTGTCACAGCTCCTTACTGACTGGGGTGGGAGGACAAAAGCCCTTTCTCCAGATGAAGAGAAACAGGCAGGAAACTTAAGTATTTTTTGCATCATTTACCGAGAACAAAGAACCCAAAGTGTAGATTCCTGGACAAGTACGACCTGAGACTAGGGGTGAACACCTCCGGTTTCAGGCTTATACCAAGGTACAGAAACCCCAACCTCGGGCCTAAAGCCACATGGTACTCTTCTGCCAAATGCCTTAAAGGTTCTCATGCAGAAACCCGTAACTGTCACATCCCAGAAATAATGGCTTTCACCCGACTAAGTGCTCATTCTCTAGGCCACACTACACCAAGCAGCCGGCTGGCGCTGTGACATCTAACTGGGAGGCAGGAGGACAGCGGGCAGAAACCTGGACCCTGCAGTCCAGTGCTAGGCCTGAGTCACAGTTCCAATTCCCAAACGTGTGACCTGGAAAGTTAGGTCACAGCGCTGAGCCCCCGGTTCTGCATTTATGAAATCAGAATGTGACTAATGAGAGCTGGCCAGTCAGATGGTGAGGGGATGTTTATAATGAATGAGCAGATGCTTATAATTTTAATTATAAAATTAATTTTTAAAAAATTATAATCTTCTGGCTGGCACCATTTTGGGGCTCAGCCCTTCTGGTTTTCCAGATGACCTAATTTACAGCCTCCTGTGTTCCTCCTTCAGCAACCCTAACAATAATGTCTTTGCTTTGTTCAAGGTCACAAGTCCTACTCATATTCAGGAAATACCAACTCTAGACACCATCGCCACCTCCTTCCCTGCCCAGGCCACATCGCCCCTCTGACAGCGAGCGAGGATCTCTTGGCTCTGAAGAAAAACATCACCCCATTCAGCAGAAAGCACCTACAGAAGAGACCCTGAACCCCTTTCGCTGAAATAATTCAGAGCCAAGATCCTTGAGGGGGGATATTGTAGGCAGTTAGACAGACGTGAGCAGAGCAAGGACAATGGCCAGGTACTGGTGGTCACCAGGGTGGCAAGCCCCACCGGGCAATCAATTATTTGGGGGGGGGGGTCATCTCCAGAGTGACCTTTCCTTCCTTAGTATATCGAAGGTCATGTGGTTTGGACCCCCAGACCTTTCCCCCCTAGAGATAACATCTAGGCCTCAGTTGTATTTCAGCTCCAGGCCCAGAGAAGCAACAAAAACCAGCCATGGTGACCAGTTGCATTGAACAATGACCCTCTGCTCTGGAGCCAGCCAATCAATCAGTGGAGACCACCACCTGAAAGGGTACGCTTGGAAAACTGCTGAATATTCTATTAAGGTCTTCTCCTAAAATCTCCACCTTTAAAACCCTTTGGAGGAAGACCCAGTAAGCTCTCCCTCCAGGGAGCAGGCCCATGCCTTTCCCATTTCCTTTCCCTCACCCTCCCTGGAAAACTGCTGGATATTCTATTAAGGTCTTCCCCGAGGACCTCCCCTAAAACCTCCACCTTTAAAACCCTTCAGAGGAAGACCCAGTGAGCTCTCCCTCCAGGGAGAAGGCCCATGCCTTTCCCATTTCCTTTCCCTCACCCTCCTCCTTCCCTGCCCCAGGCACATTACCATTACCTTCCTCACTCCCAAGCTCAAGGGCTCTTCCTTTAACTCTACAAATTGTTTCCTAGGCTCAAATCTTCTAGAATTACGTCTACCTCTGTGATTTACCAAATAAATGTTCTCCTACAAAAATAAACAAATAATACAATAAAAATGATCATCTTCCTGACTGGTGTGGTTCAGTTGCTTGGAGCATCATCCCTTATACCAAAAGGTTGCAGATTCTATTCCAGGTCAGGGCACATACCCAGGTTGTGGGTTCGATCCCTTGCCTGGTGTGTATGGGAGGCAACTGATTGATGTTTCTCTCTCCCTCCCTCTCCCTTCCTTTCTCTCCAAAATCAACAAAAACATTTTTTAAAATTTCCATCTTCACAACAACCCTATAGGAGTAACACTATTATTATACATTTTATACATTTACAGATGAGAAAATTAAGGCTTAGAGAAGTTTGATACAACAGCCAGGAAATAAATAAGCTAGGCTATTTGACTTGAGCTTGGCATCAAGCTCAGTTCTATTCAAGAAGACCAGATTTCAACTTGAGCTTGGCATCTCAAGAACCGTGCACCAGACCCAACATCTTCCTGAGTGACGCCTGGGGCTGCCTTTGTGGTGGAGCATGGGTCTAGGGCTGGTCAGACAGACCACCTCCCCTCCTGCTCCATTCAAAAGAGTATACACATCACAGACAGCCACAAGCAGCCTGAAGTGACTTGTCCAATCGTACTAAGGAGGGATGGCTAACTTCCCCCAAGTGGCAGGGATAATATTCCCAGGTAGCCAACCACTACTCTAACAAACCTGCATGACCCATCACACCTTACCCCAAATAAGCTGGTTGCCCCCATCGACCACTGGCAAACTTTTGAGTAATTTAGTCCTGAAATCCTGAAATTCTATGAGAATGAAAATAGGTTGAGGTTTAAACAGAAAAGAAAATTACTCACCCTGTCTAGGGGGCTGGGAGGATTTCATATGAGCTGATGATGGAAACAGGAGGGAGGACAACAGGGAGGGAGAACAGGGAGGGAGAGGACCAGAAGGACCCAGAAGACATAAGAAGAGAGACAGTGATGTGGTGGAGGAGAGGCATGCCCTGGTGGGGGTGGGGAAGAAAGCTTTAGGTGCTGGGTGAAAGCGGCAATAGAGCAAGAGGCAGGGTCTCCAAAGCATCTCAAAACCCTGGAGGAGTAAAGGGCTGCCTTTAAGCTTATCATGAGGACACATTCCCTCACTGGGTAATTCACCGTAATGACATGCAGCCTGTTTGGGGCATGGAAAAGCCTAGGAGAGCTGGCTGGGACCTGTGTTCAGTTTCTGAAGCTGAGCAAGAGGTGCCGATCCACCTGCCAAACGTGTTTTGGGCTGCCTGGGCACTGCACTCAACAGCCGACCAGCCAGGCTCATCGAAGATTCAAAGCCATCCATTTTGAAATGCCCATCGGTTTAGTCCAGCCTCAGGCCAGCTAGTCAAAGCAGCCATGCTGGGTGGTGCACAGGGCAGGCAGCACTGGTCACCTGAGGGCGTCTGAGCAAGGCCTAGAGCTTTCCTCAGCCAGCAGTGCTTCCAAATGACCCCATCAGCCACAGCTGCTGCTCCCACGGCCCCTCTTCTGCACCAGGCCCCGTACTTACCACAGGCCTGCCCATACGCAGTGGCCTGGACAAAGAGGACATAGAGGGGAGGTGGCAGGTGTCTGGCCGTCTCATATTGTTTGTGAGCCTGGTCAAAAGGCATGAACAGGTACTCTTGCACCGGGAGGGAAGCCTGCAAGCGTTGATGAGGATGAAAAGAGGACATAGAGGGGAGGCGGCAGGTGTCTGGCCGTCTCATATTGTTTGTGAGCCTGGTCAAAAGGCATGAACAGGTACTCTTGCACCGGGAGGGAAGCCTGCAAGCGTTGATGAGGATGAGGAGCAATTAGAACTTTCTCATAGTGCTGAAGGAAATTTCTGTAAATCAGTACAATCACTTTACAAACCTAAATATTTGTAGGCATATTTTTTAACAGGAAAAATTAAGTACCGCCCACTCTCTTAGTTTCCATTTTTGTTCTGTCCCATTATTCCATTACAAAGTGTTACTGGGAATATTTCTGTTAACAATTCTAATTCTATGCCTAGTGTGGAAGGGAGGAAATGTGGACTTGCCAAACCCCAGAAAAGGGAATTTGTAATTTCTCTAGGGTCCTTTTGCCAAGTTCCTTCATATTAACCATTTGCCCTGCTTCATAAAACTGTAAGGATTTAGACCAAATCTGGCTTCACAAAGCCAACAAAATCAGGTCACCTATATAGAAAGACATTACAGTTTACAGGTAAAGTGGGGACTTTTCCTCCTAGGGTACCTAATGGCTTTCAAATATGAGTCATGTTTTCACAGTGCGTAAATCTACTAAAAATCTTCCCCTGAGGTACAATCAGGGGGATCTAACAGATATCCACAAGCACACTTAGGCACCTATAACTTCGGGGGCTGGTTAAGACCATGTAGGGGGTAAACTAAAGAGTTTGCAAAAGTGGGCCTGGTCGGTGTGGCTCAGTTGGTTGGTCAAAGCGTGCACCGAAAGGTGGCCAGTTCAGTTTCTGGTCAGGGGGTGCAGGAGGCAGCTGATCAATGTTTCTCTCTTACATTGATGTTTTTATGTTTTTCTCTCTCTCCCTCTCCCTTCCTCTCTCTCTAAAAATCAATAAAAAAAAAAATATATTTTTTAAAAAACGTGTTTTACCGGGATAAGGCTTTGGGATAACCCTGGCCAGTGGCTGGAGTGTTGGCCTATGCACCCAAGGGTCTTGTGTTCGATTCTGGGTCAGGGCACGTACCTGGGTTAGATCCCTGGCCCCAGTTGGGAAGCATTTGGGAGGCAACCAATCGATGTATCTCTTTCACATTGATGAGGGTCTTGTGTTCGATTCTGGGTCAGGGCACGTACCTGGGTTAGATCCCTGGCCCCAGTTGGGAAGCATATGGGAGGCAATCAATCGATGTATCTCTTTCACATTCATGTTTCTCTCTCTCTCTCCCTCTTTCTCCTCTTCCCTCCCTTCAACTCTCTCTAAAAATCCATGGAAAATATATCCTCGGGTGAGGATGAACAAACAAACAAACAAAAAGAAAGCACCCCAAGTAAACTTGTGTATATGTCCCTGAGTCCACCTGGCCAGCTTTTCTTCTACCCAGGATCATCCTCGAACTGTACTCTAACTCAGGTTAGGGTAACACACCTGGCAAAAGCCAAAGGCAGACATGGCTGCTGACGGCTCGAGTCAGCAGGGTCTCCCTGGTTCTTCTGTGGAGGCAAAGCAGAGGCTGATGGGGTGAGTGTTTGGGGGAAGGCCCTCACCTGCATGATGCTGTTCAGGCGAGGCTGGAGGCTGCTCAGGTATTCCTTCTTCACTTCAATCTCCTTAAGGATCTTCTCCTTGTTGGAGAGGGACTCTCGGTACTTCTCCGCCAACCTGTGGGGAAAGGACAGAGCACTGTCCCTAGATGCTCTCCAGGGATATCCTGACATGCTGTTCACTGTCAGAATCCCCCTAATAAAAGCAGCTGGGATGAACCAGTGTTTCCCTAGCACATACTATATGCCTGGCACTTTGAAGAACTCTTTACAAACATTACTGCATTTAATCTTTATAAAAACCCTGTTAGAACCTGCTGGTGTGGTTCAGTGGTTGAGTGTTGACCTATGAACCAGAAGGTCATGGTTCAATTCCCAGTCAGGACACATGCCCGGGTTGTGGGCTTGATCCCCAGTAGGGGGCGTGCAGCCGATCAATGATTCTCATCATTTATGTTTCTATCTCTCTCTCCCTTTCTCTTCTTCTCTGAAAATCAATAAAAATATATTTAGAAAAATGAAAAAATAAAAACCTTGTGTATGTTAAAAACAAGCAAACAAAAAACAAGAACAACAACCCTGGAAGATAGGATCTTTTCTTATCCCCAGAGGACATGAAGGCTCAGGGAGGTAGATAACTTGCCCAAGGTCATCCAGGAAAGAGCAAGCACGGAGCTAGGCTTTGAATCCATGCCTGTCTGGCCCCAAAGGCTCTGTCCATAACCTCTAGGGAATACCCCTTGTCATCATCTGCTCCATTTCTTGCCTCTAGTGGCAAGACCCAAACTTTCACAAACATGTGGACCTAATAGCTACAGGACCCAAATGAGGCCATAGATTGGCTTGAGTGGGGCCGGGCGGGGCAGGCTTCCAGACCAGAGCCACAGGAATACAACACTTACAGTTTAGCCTGTGCCGGGAGCACAGGGGAGTGCCAGGCCCATCTGCTAAAAATTGACACCAATCCGTGGCCCTTGAGTCAAAAAGTTTGCCCACCCCTGGTTTAGCCTGTGCCAGGAGCACAGGGGAGTGACAGGCCCATCTGCTAAAAATTGACACCAATCCCTAAGAATCAGACTTAGTACTTATTAAATTCATAACATGGACCAAAGGCACAGAATACATTCAATAACGGAAAAAGGCAAGGGATAAAAACAGCTGCTTCTCCAAAGAAAAACAGTCCAATCCAATCAGGGAACGATTATGTGAGTTACAATTTGTCTATACGTGAAATATCGTACAACCTTCTAAAATGATGTTTGCAAAGCCTTAAAAGAACCACAGGGGAAAAGGACAAAATCAAAATTAGATTTATGGTACAAAAGGTATTTAGGTCTCAGGTGTTAAAATTTTAAAAGAAAGATTACTCCAACTTTCCGTTAACAGCCTTAACCGATTCCAACCCCACTTATGATGCAGTTGGCCAAATTTGAACTAACAGGTGTGCATTAATCACAAAATGGGGTTTGGTCTTAGAGACTATTCTGCCGGTTGCACAGAGCGTTGCTGTCTGTGGATCATAACAAAGTACTATCCTCATGGTTAAAGGGCCTTGTCTGCACAGGTTAACAAGGTCAGGAAGAGGAAAGCCACCTTTTCCGCTGCTCCAGCTCCCAGTCCAGACGTGCAAGGGTTTGCTGGTGAGGGTCTCCCATGGTGATCTCAGCCTTGCTGATATCTGGAGGAGCCTCTTGATAAAACTCCTCTACACTGACCAGATCAATTTCTTCATGCTTTGACCTATAGACAAAAACAAATGTCAAATTGCCGTTCTTAGGCACCCAAACTGTGGCTTAAGCAGGCTCCCAGTTCCTCCCCATGTACACCCACTTTGCCCAGGTCTATAGCTACGCAGGGACATGCCTCACTCCAGGGCCACTGGCTCTCCATGGGCCTAGTTCCACTGCATTTTGGGTTTATCAGCTTCCATCTGAGCAATGGTTACGGGCTGGGCATCGCATTCTTTTCCCCTTTGTTTTTATACCTGGAGTGAGGGTATATTTCCTCCACATACCCTTCCCCTCCAATAACAATCTTATCTAAACAGTACCAAGTCAAAACCAGGAAAGTGGCAATGGTACAATACTACTCAGACCTGATGTGGATTTCACCTCTATTAGTATTTAAGTATTACTATGTGATGAATTTGTGGAGCAGATAAAGATTCCTCAAAAATCATCATCATTATTAAAAATAAACTAGACCCAATGTCTAATGTGCCCACTCACCGCAAGTTTATTACAAATAACACCTTTCAGTTGGCACAAACGGGTCTGACCAAGCAAGAACATGCTCCCTTCTCTTCTACTCCTTCCTACCCTCTCATCTCTCACCTTGGATTTGCCAAGGGGCATTATTACATTTTAGAAAGAACACTGCAAATTCTTATTTGTTCACCAAAGGCAGCTAAGCAGCAAGAAATCCCGGTTTGCAAAAATCAACTGCTGGAACTTAGAGATGAAAACTGGGCCAAAAGGTTAAAAGGACATGACTGGCCAAAACCGGTTTGGCTCGGTGGATAGAGCGTCGGCCTGCAGACTGAAGGGTCCCAGGTTTGATACCGGTCAAGGGCATATACCTTGGTTGCAGGCACACCCCCAGTATGAGGTGTGCAGGAGGCAGCTGGTCGATGTTTCTCTCTCATCGATGTTTCTAACTCTCCATCCCTCTCCCTTTCTCTCTGTAAAATATCAATAAAAATATATTTAAAAATAAATAAATAAATAAATAAAAGGACATGACTGGAGGTGAGCTGCCCCCACACAAGGCTGCTCAGAAATCAAACTGGTAATGAATGCAAAGGCCCCTACTAGGGAGAGACAACTGCTCTGACCAGGTGCAGAGCTCAAAACTCAAAATGGTCAGACAGGCTTCGGAGTTTCTTTGCGCAGCCTAAAACTATTGCCTCCAACCTTCCCACTCAAAGTCATCTATTCACCCTTCTCCCAGGTCCTACGGTCTCCACAATCATCTGATTTCTTTTTGAAGAGACTAGCACACACAGAGCTATTCGGGAAAAGGCAGTTACTAACAGACCATCTTGCCGAAGCCCTGGCCTCCAAAACTCACTTGAACTCCAGACATTTAGTGATCTCCTTCTGCAGGTGCATCACCTCATACAACAGGTTCTGGAGCTGCAGGTGACAGGCGTCTACTTTCTGCTTGGCCTGAAAAGAGGACAAGGTCAGAGGTGAGAGGGGCAAGTCAGGGTGGGGCGGGGCAGAGCAGAGTGGCAGCCAACTCAGAAAAAGGGGTAAAGGGCACTGAGAAGGGGATGGGGAGGAGGGAGGAGAAGGAGGGTTAAACCTCTCAACTCCTACCTCATGGGTCTGATCTCGTCCTTTCTTCAATCTGATGTGGGCTAATCGGTTAAGCTTCTTTAGAGTCATGAAATGTACACAGCTCTGGATCCTGCGATCTTCAATCTCAACTGCCTGCGGGCAAAGAAAAGCTGGTAAACACCGCAAGAAGCGGGCACTGGCTCGCTTCCTTCGGCTCCAAAATAAGACCATGGGAGGAGGCAGAATCATGAGAAGAGTCAGAGAGAAAGGAAAGAATGATTGTACAAGGGAAGGGCGTAAGGTTCTCAGGGCAAAAAGCCATTTCTGGTTGGACCAAAGTTAACAGGAATTGAATAGGGAGCAAGTGCAGCCAACGCACAAAAAATCTGGCCTAACATATCGCACACAAGAGATCCAAAATCTTGCCATACAATTTTACCTCTGTAAACAGCATTTCAGAATAATTTAAATGAAAATAGAATTATAGCTGTAAAATTTAACTCTCTTTAAGAGCTAAAATATAATAATTTTAATAACATTGGCCAGTGTAAGCACATGAGATTCCTGGCAAAATATGGGTTGTTTTGTTTTGAACTTATTCATCTAGTTTATAGTCACACTGTTTAGTTTCTCTGTCCAAAAGCCTGGTTTATTCATTTAGTAGTAATAATTTAATTTTTGTTCTGATTTCCTTGTACATACCCACCCTTATAACAGCAAGGGTATTTACATGTCATTTCTCAACACCTAGCAAAATACTTAGCCCTTAACCCTGGCTGGTTTGGCTCAGTGGATAGAGCACAGGCCTGCGGACCAAGGAGTCCCGGGTTCGATTCCAGTCAAGGGCACATGCCCGGAGTTGCGGGCTCGATCCCCAGTGGGGGGCATGCAGGAGGCAGCCAATCGATGATTCTCTCTCCTCATTGATGTTTCTATGTCTCTCTCCCTCTCCCTTCCTCTCTGAAATCAATAAAAATATATATTTTTTAAAAAATACTTAGCACTTAATACACATTTGGATAAATTATCAAATTATACTTATGGAAAAAATTCATTATCCTGTATTTTCATTACTGTCATTGTGAGTGGATGGTGATGAGAAGTTCCAATAAATTAATAGACAGGTCCCTAGAGCGCCCAGGCCCCAACGACCTATTCACGGCTAGGACAGGAGGCCAAGGTCAGGATGGGCTCTCTCTGGTGAGTGCGAAACAGGTGCATCCGTGCGGACCCACCAGGTTCATATTTGCCTAGTCCACTCCTTACCGCATCCTTGCCTCCCCGGCTCTTCAGGTCCTGGATCTCGGCCATGAGTCGCTGCAACTCCTGGCACGTGTACTTGTACAGCTCATAGTCTCTCCCAGGGTCCCGCAGGTCCACCTCAGCCTCCTCACCGTAGTATTTGCCTTCCTGCTCAGGGTCAGAACGCTTCCGCTTCCGCTTCCCTTCCGCTGGAGCCTCATCACTTGGAATCACTTTGCGCTTCCGCTCCTGGCTGGACTCTGATGACATGGTTGTTTGGTGAGGTCAGGAAGAAACAGTAGAGACCTCAGGGGTGGCCGCGGCCGCAACCCGACCCGGGAAAGCCCCCGCGGCGAAGGCGATGCAGGTGTAAGGGAGCGGGTCCTGGGGGTGGGTGGAAGGGGGGGTGCAATTGAGGATCAAGTGACTCTCTCTCTCCGGTTCCTGTTAGAAACGGCCTACCGCTCCCAGGAGCATCTGACGTCCCTCGTTGACCACCTGTGAACCACAACGTTCCTTGCTTCACGAAGGGACTCTATCTCAGAGCTTCAGGCGGAGGCCGGCCAGGGGCACTGCAGCCCGCGCACCATCCAGAAGCCGAAGGAAGGCCCACCTATATCTTTTTGAAAAAAGTCTCTCTCTCCCCTCACACTCTGGAGTTGGCTGTCTTACCAACTAAGCCCTGGGCTGCAGTGAGGGAGACTTATATACACCGAGGCGGGAGGTCTGAGCCAATCAGAAGACACGCTAGAGCCGCTCGCCCATTCCTGCGGTGTGATTGGTGGATTCCCGGTGGCAGAGCCTGTCCGTGGCTCCGCCCCCGCCTGCCAGCCCCAAACAATCTTCACCCAGTGCTCCAAGGAGCAAAACCGCTCCCCAAGTCGTTCTCCTTCCCTCTCTCCCATCCGAGGGTGC